TCAGTGAAATGCTGCAGAGTCAAATCAAAGGGCTCACTTAAATTGCTCTGTAACAAGCTTATCATCTACCATGAGCAGAGAATAATTATCCACCCCCCACCCCCCATCCCTATCCCCCCACCCCATGCCAAAAGCTATATCTTTTGATATCTGTGCTGCCATCTAGTGGAAAAACTTCAACTCATTTGTTTCTGAAAATTGCTTCTTGCCTTTTCCATCCTGAGACGAGCTATTTTTAGCTAAAACACACATGGAAATTCCTCTTTCTCAGAAGCCTTGCAACAAAAGCCTCCTCTCGTGGTCATCTAATTAAAGTTAAGCTCAAAGCACCAGTGCGGCCCACTGAAGAACTAAAATAGCCAACATGTTACGCAATCTTTAGCTTTAATTTCCTCTGGTACAAGCAATGTTTTTAAAGTATTTACAAAGGGAACATTAGTCTGCAAACTTCTCTATATAAGACCACATTTATTATTGAGTGCAGCGCCTTAAGATCTTAACTCAAAGAGTTCATGGCCTTAACTGGAATGTAATCATTTGGCTTCATTTTATAGCCTTTACTGAGGACACATAGTGTTGAATATACTCACAACACACAATACCTTTCACTGGAGCATTATGTATCGAAGATGATCCTGCAAAATAACAACATGGAAATGGAACAAACAGGACATGAAGACTTCTTAATGAGAGTAAATAGTACACATTCATTCCACATGAAAACAGCTTTAGAAACAAAATAATTTTTAGATTCTGAGGAATATCCAAAGGTATTTATTTAGTGGTGCAGAATTTCTTTACTGTCTGGATTTAAAGAATATCCTCCATAGGGACACTGAAAAAAAAAAAAAAACTCTGAGCCCATCCCTGAAACTAAGGCATAAGAGAATAAATGAGCCACATAAATGTTGGAGATGCTGTTTCCATGTGGGCAACTTCTGGAGCTAAGCTAAATATAAACCCAGCAACTCCAGAACTGTAGCTGCAGGAGAAACATGCTTCTCCCTGACTGAATATGGCAGGTTTGCAAAGTTTAATTTTGACAAACCGAAGGGCTTTTTGAGCAATGCTTCTTAGACCAGAATTAGCTAAAGGTTGAGATTCATGGTCCTCTTCAAAGTTTAAACTAAACACCTAGAATAACTTCTTTAAGATACATTAGAACACATACAAATTGATGGGTAAACAATTAAAAATGGATATAAAGCACTAAGCAGCTGGTAATTAATAGCAAACTGTGACATGCTTAGTGAAAAACAAACGGAGGGTGGTGGAGAGTTGATAAAACTATTAACTAATAGATATAACTAATAAACAAAAACTTAATACAATATCAGCTCAAAAAATATTTACATTAGTAAGCAAAATTCCAACAAATAACATGAAATTAGCAATTGTTGTTGCAACCAAAGAACACATTTTGTAAACTTACATTTGAAAAAAAAAAAATTTCAATCCAAAAATGAAACTTGTTAATAAAAACACGAGCGCTAGAGTAACTTAGTTTTCACAGATTTTTATTGTTTTAAATGATTTTTATTTTATTAGTTTGCAAATTGGAATCTTTTCAACTAACTTTTCCCACATAACATTCTGGAAGTAGAAAACATTTTAAAGAGCGAGAATCTGTTTTGGGTTTGAAGTGAAGAGAATATGATCTGTAAAATGCAATTTGAAAGGAATGCAATTCGTAAAAAATCCAATCTGAATAAGATAAATTATATAAAATAACATATAAAAACATAAAAATTGGAAAAATACATATGGAAAACATAAAATATGAAAAATAACATTTGAGAAAACAGAGTTAGAAAATATCCAAGATTACTAAAAATATTTCTAGATTGAATTTTTTTTCAAATTTTCATTTACAAAACAGGTTCAATAATGGAACAAATTGCACTCTATATATTTATATGAATTGGAAAATACTTTCACAACCATATACATGATATTTTATTGAACAAAGTAAAAGTTAGAGTCATCAATAGCAACAGTTTGCTAGAAGTTAATAGAGTAGATTTTATTTAACAAATAATAAGATGCACCTTGTCTCTGAATGCATGCACACATGCTGTCAGTTGCTGTTCATTATTATTCAGACAGTACTCTATTCTTTGCTGGTGTCTTTTCTTTTTCACCTAAGAAAATAGACTTTTTTAGTGAAGTATGTCATTTATTATTAACCAAACTGTCTTTCCTTCCTCTCTGAGATGTGATTTTCTTCTTTGCTGTGCACTTTATATTCTAGGATTGTTTTTCTTTCATCTAATTCATTCCTTTATGTAACAAAGGGAGTTCTACTGTATTCTAATAGATTTTAAAACCAAGCAGGAAATTATTCTGATGCACAAGAAGCAAAGTTCTAGCACAGGACAGCAGCCTGACAACAGAAACAAACTAGCTGAATACAGAATGTGATCATTTAAATTTTATACATCATATTTTTGCAAAACAGCAGACTGCAAAAATGTTCTCATTTGCTTCGGCTCCTGTTGGCTGGCTGTCATCACCATCCTGTGAGCGGATCTAATGAGAGCCTATCTGGAGCTGTGCAAAACAAAAACTTAATCTAAGAGTTGGCCAGAAGAGCAAATTTTTTTATCGTTGGCTATTCTACCACAAACCATTTATCATATGTAGTGTCATGTTGCAAAACTGTCTAAGAGTTCAACAGGAATTGCGTAATGAGTGAAAGAAAACAGCCATATATAAGCATTGCAGTTGGATTTAGGCTTTAGAGACTGATTTCCTGCAAACATCTCCTCTATAGATCCTTTAGACCCCAATAAACCTCTGATTGCTTGATAAAAGCCTCTTCTGCACATGCATGTTTCACTTATTCACATATTTGTCTTTTCTCTATGTAGTTCAGTTGGATTTTTTGGCAGTGAATTCATGATAAGGGTACTTGCATTTAAAAAGTGCTTAATGCAGGAATTCTTTTTTCTGCTTTGACACAGTGATATCAAACAAAGGCGCTAAAAAGGACATGCAGTTTTTTTTGTTTGCTTTTTTTTTCATTGTTGTTTTTTGCATGTTGTGGGTGATCAACAAGGATTGGTCAAGCACAAATTTTAGGACATGCTGTTTGGTTTCACCACACTAAAATGAAGAGATCACTTCAGTTCTACGCCATGTAGTTGGAGGCAATAATGAACATGATTATTTTTCAGATAATGTCTATAATTCCAAGTATTATGGTTCACTTCACATTGGTAGCCTATCAATTTGCTAAAGGAAAAAAATGTAAATAATAACTACAATTGAAGTGAAATAGGAAAAATAAAACACAAGACATGAAAAAAAGTGTGTTTTTCGATTATGACAAAGACTGAATTTTTTATTTTATTTCATACTGTATAAATATGTTTAAATACCCACAGAATCTCTGCTCCATCATCTTTTATTGTTACTATACCTCCTTTGTAGCAACGATGAACACAGAAATGTTTGGAGGTGAGTTTACACCCCATTTAAAAAAAAACAACAACAAAAAAACTGAGGTCATAGTTTTGTTTCTGGAGAAATGCTTTGCATGTAGTAAATGTTAACATTGGCATATCCTCCACCCATAGAGTTTTGCAGTTTGATCAATATTGTATGATCTCTGCCTGCTGAATTACATAAACCACTTTACGCCTTTTTTGAAGGTTTGCTGTATTTGCACCTTTTTTCATATTAAGAAGCACAAACCTTTTGAAGATCAGACCCCTTTGTGTGAATATTTTCACTATGAGCACTATGTTAACATAATCTAAAGCAGATCTATAGAAATACAAAAGTTTTCCTCCTAGTTGCCCAACCACCAATTGTTACATGGGGTTAACCATCTGTGCTATTCATGAGAAGTGATAGAAAAAGCAGCCATTTTTTTTTTTTTGCAATATTCATTCACAATCTAAGGTGTTTTAAAATTGTGTTTTTCTGCTCATTCTCATCTAAAAATATCCCCAATAATTAAATCCAGTACCACCAACAAAAAACACCTAAGTTGGAAACGAAACCCCTGCTGTGTTTAATGATGTGAAGAGGTTTATGATAAAAATCAGAGGTCCTGTAACTCTGGAGGAGCTGCATAAATCTGTAACTCAGGTTGGAGAATTAGACGACATGACATATATTAGCTGTGCCCTCTCTAACCCTGGGCTTTATGGAGCAGCAGAGGTGAGTAGTAGCTAGATTTGTTTATTCAGTTACGTTAACTTTGATAATTTTTTATAAAAATGTTCTTAAAATATAGTTGAGTAGATTTTGAACATAAAAACATAATTATAAGCAACTATCCTTCTCATTGTTGTACTTTTATATAACTGTTCAACCTCCAGCCACTAGGTGTCAGTGCTGCACCCATGGCCCTATTATTCAGCTTGTGTGATACCAGCCACAGCAGTGGAGCAATATCAAGATCTCATGAGGTTTTGCAGAGCTATGCTATTAAAAAATATATATATATATCATCAATATATCATCTTTGTGACTTATCGAGATAAATCTGGATAAATCATGTCATGATCAATTTATCGTGATACATATTGGATCATGAAACTTTGCCAATTCACACCCCTGAAAATGAGTATTGTCTTTTATACAACCTTTTTGTTGTTTAGTCATGTTAATCTGCTGAGATGTCTATAACATGGAGGTCATGGTGATATGCAGCATATGTTGTCACTAGAGTTTGCACTTTTCCAGCGTGCAAACTATATAAACCTTCCCTTAGCAAAAAGTAGTTTATTCAAGTATACTAAAAGTGCACTAATTTCATACTTAAAATCAGGCAATGCACTTAGACTTTACTTATTCTAAACTATATTTCATATATAACAATAATATGGTCAAGTGTACTTGACTATACTATTGTTCACTTTATTGTTTACTAAAGTATATTTTAAGTATACTTTAGTAAACTTAAAATGTCCCAATTTAGTTCAAAGAAGTATTACTTTAGTAATACATCTAGTACACTAAAAGTACATTGTTCTGGTATACTTTCTAAACTTATACTTATACTTAAGTATTCTTAATAGAATTTACTTTAAGTATACTACTTTTTGCAAAAGGTTAAGAAATGGTTTTATATTGACACACGTTAAAAAGAAGCTTATTGAGAAGATTATTTTCTTCTTGCCAAAATCTTTTTATTTGTATTCATTACTTTTTTTAAGTCTTAAAAACAAAAGAAATTTGCACAAAGCTTTATATTACGGTTAATCTGATTTACATCATTTTAAATAGTAAAACGGTTGCAAAATACATGAGTACACTTCTTAATGAGTACCTTTTTACTCTTACTTGAGTATTTTATTGGATGGCTACTTTTTACTTCTATTCGGGTAGAAATATGTTGAAGTAGTGCTACTTTTACTTAAGTACACATTTTTGTACCCTACCCAGCTACGTGAAGGAGTAGAAAGAAGGAAACCATTGATCAAAGCTGCTCAGGTCAGAAAAGACTACACATTTTGGCTTTCATAGAACACCATGTGTGTCTAAGATTTAAAAAAAAAAGCGATGGACACTCTAAGGCATTTGGGGGGACATCATCATTCGGTCGGGATTTTTGTCTTTTGCAGAGATAAGTTGGACAAAGTTGAGAGTTCAAGGAGCTCCAAAATCCTGGAAGAGAACTGATAAAAAACACAGAAAATGTTCCAGCCACCTGACGAATACAGCCAGAACCACAAGGTAATAGGGCCAATCAAAGCATGTTATTGTCTTCAAATGGTTTCCTTAAAGTCCAGATTAAATGCTGGTGAGAATCTCTCACAGGGCTGTTATTCTTCACACATCAGTCTATAGACGTGCAAAGATAGAGGAGATAAAGAAATGTGGTTCTACAAACTATCTACTTGGCAAGGGTGAACATTTGAGATTTTATGCATGAAAAATGATTTTAAAACCATGTTGTATTTTCCTCCCACTTTACAGTGATGCACTGGTTTGTGTTGCTCTATCAGATGAAATCTAAACAAAGTCCCAATCCACAATTGTCAGGTGGAAACGTGAAAACGTTTGAGAACTTCCAAGGTGCTGAATGAACAGAGAGCTTTGCTGCTTGCCTTCGGCTCGGTTTTGCAAAATCAGCAACCCCCCCAAGGTTCACCCAGCTTGTCTTCACGTCACACTGATTTTCTCCTCTTGCCAAAGACATTGTTGATGAGTTTGGCCATGGACTTGGAGCCGCTGTAGCGCCGCCGGTCGGCTCGGTACTTGAGGTGCTCCATCACCTGCCGGATGAGCTGGGTGAAGAGGTTGGCGATGTCCTGGTAGCTCTCGGCCGCTGACACCTCCTGGAAGTTACAGCGGTTCTCATGCGCCAGGCTGCGGGCTTCCTCCTCTCGTACCTGGCGTGCATGGCAAAGGTCCTGCTTGTTACCCACCAGACATACGGGAACGTCCGTGTCCCTGAAACAGTTAGATTAAACAGATAATGGAATGTTATTGCATCCTGCAATTTGACACATAGTTTTTTTTTTTTTTTCATTTATCAACCGCATTTTAAAAGCCTGAACCCAAAACTTGTGACTTCTGAGTGTGAGGCATTTGTTTTTTTTTCCATTTTCACAAGTATACAGACACAATATCCAGATCCTGTCCTTATTTTTATCATGAGTTAATGATCTCCTCCTACGCTCCCTTTGCATCTCCCTATGCCTCTGTATGGGGCCAGGCTGCCTGACAATTGCAAGCGGCATGTTTTTCTGCACATGCCTGTAGGATTGCAGGGAACCCCTTGTTCGTCATCATGAATCATTAATCAGGACGCACCAGGCTCTTTGGAGACATTCCACAAACCCAGACCTGTACAAAGACTCCTGTTTATCCTCAAAGACACGACTGAAGCTTTATCTTCATCCTTTCTTCCTGCTCTATTCTTAAGATGTCTTGGTACAGTGGATGTAAACAAATCCAACCATTTCCTATCTACCCTTGCATGAATATTCTCTCAGTAGTATGGAAGATGTTTTAGGGGTTGTCAGATACATTCCTCTTGGAATGACTGGCAGCAGGATTTCTGATGGCCACATTTCCCACAAATCTTTTTTAGACAAGAACATGAACACACACTTTAAAACAATTGCATCATACCAAGCATGTAGGTGGACGATTGCTGATTGGGGCTGTCTATTAAGAATTTGGAAACATTTTAGTCAAACCATATTAACATAACAGAGAGAATAGCAAAATTTAAAGGGACCTAATATTGTGTCTATGGGGTGAATCATGTTCCTTTAGTGTTGCAAGCAAAGCAACGCTTCAGTAAATGGAAATAAAAAAACAACACATTTTTTTAAACTGAAAGGAGAAAAATATTGCATCCAAAAGTGAAACTCGTTTTAATTAAAAAAAAAGTTTGCTGTTTAAGATTTTATTTCTGAATTTTTCTTTCAAATTAATATCTAATATTTCATTTTCCAATTTTTTAATTGTTATTTTTCAGGTTATTGTTTTAGAAGTAGGCTGGCTGTTTTTAACGCTCGACATTTGTTCACACTTTAATTACCTTTACTGCAGAGTGAAGGACACACTACTAACTACTACCAAGTCAACACTGAAAATAAATGTCATAATAGAGAAACAAGATATCAAAGTTAAGCCCTGAGCTCTATATGCACAAGGAAATTTAAGCTGATGTTGACAACTCAAAATGATGAGATAATGTAAGTTTCAAAAACAGTTAAAGGCTGAACTGAATTATTAGATATAGTTATAAATTGCACCTTAACAAAGCATGACATCAGTTCATTTTTATATGTGATTTTCTGTTCTTTATGCCAGTATGCATAGTTATGTTGCCTCTGACCCTTTGCTGTTGTCTGAGCGAGTCTCCCGGATCTGCCGCAGGATGCTTTTGGCGTTGATGAAGGAAGTGCGGTCGCTGATGTTGTAAACTACCACGAAGCCGTCTGCCCACTCTACTGGCTCCTCCAGTATACACCTGGCCTCAGAGCCCTGCCAAAAGGAGAAATGTGCTTTTATTTTGAAATCTCTCTGAGTATTTGCTCCATTTTTCTGCTGGCTTATTTGCTTTAGAAGAATGAAAACATCTTTTCTTCAATGTTCTAGGCTGCCTTTACAGAAACACCCCATGAATTTTACATGTGAAAATCATATGGAAATTAATGCACCACATGGGAATCACATGGAAAACTGCATTTATATGTGGATGTAGACCATTTTATGTTAAAAGCACACCTGAGTCAAATGTGAAAACATAAATCATTTCACATGTTTTTGACATGTTTCTATGTGCAATAGAAGTGCTTCACTTGTGACCTGCATGTGCTCTCAATGGAAATCACATCTGTTAACATGTGTGCGAAATTGGTTTCGAATGTTTTCAATGTGAATCACATTTGCTTTTAACATGGAACATCCCAAATCCAAACAAATTTATGTGCTCTTACATATGATTCACATGTGGATTACATGTTCATTTCATGTGTAGTCCATAGGTTTCACATTTGGTATTGACATGTGCCACATACATGTGATTTACATATAAAAATCTGAATCATATGTAATATATGTATATGTCACATGTTAACTGTATGGATTTTACATGTGATTTTCACATTTGAAATTTATTTTATTTTTTGCATGACAATAAACAAATATTTAGACATGTACAGATGGAAAGGAGGGTTTTAAAAATAGCATGATCTTATGATATTAACATGGGGAATGTGCTGCACATGTGAGAAATACAGTATCACAGTGCCACATGTGATCAAGTTAAATGGAACATGAAATAAATGGACAAAATGTAACCCATATGTGGAAGATGAGAATCACAACCAAGGGTCATGGGACTTTAAAAGAAGGTATTTTTTGAAAATGACTTATACTCCTGCATGTTTAGTTATTAATAACTCAGCTTCTTGAAGTGTGCTATGCAGTTTTTTATTGCTGAATGTTTCCTATGGGGGCCTTGTACAAAAAATTCAGTTTACTTGACAGATTCCATATTTGGACATGTTACAACGACAATGTTCAGAATAGGTGGATAAATGGAAGCAAGATTATTAAAAACTCAGTATCAGAGACTTTTGGCAAAAGGTTTTCGAAGACCAAAAAGAGAGAATGCAAACATACTACACACTTTTCAAATAGGATTCTGTGAAAACTATACATAAAATACAATAAAAATAATTTAGACGTTTTTAAATGGCTCTCTGCATAAGCTGCTATCTTTTTTTTACTTAACTTGAACATTGCATTTTTTTCCATGAGTATTGCACAATATTTTCTTTCATTTGATTATTTTCTGCTTCAGAGCTTAACTTTTAAATAGTTTTTCTTTCAGGTTACTAAATCTATTCCGGTTTTTCCTAGCTGCATGTTTTCACCATGGTCACACCCAAATCTCCTCACTGTGGAGCAACTAAGGTTTTCTTTTTCCCTTTTTCCTCTATTGTTAAAACAAATAGAGTGCAGAAATTCAAGTTGAAGAAGGCTTTACTGCCTTGGAGTGCATTTTGTTCCATTATTGCTGCAAGAAAAAACATGTTTTGTGGAAATGGAAGTTTAAAAAAAAAATCGAAAATGAAACCTTGAAGAACTTTTTCAGATTGAGTTTTATGAATTGCACTATTTTTAAATTGCATTCTAAGGCTGAATCCCAAACTGGCCCCTAAGAACCAATCATAAGCAGTAAACCTCTGTTTGTACGTTCCCACGGAGGGTCCACCACATGAAGGTCTATCCCATAACTAGTAGTGAGTAGGGCGAGTGGACCCTTCAGCCCTTAGATAACTAGTCTGCGTAGTAATGGCAAAGGAAAAATGTGCATTCAAATGTAAGTTCCGCTGGTTTGCTGCATCTTCATCACACTGACAGAAAATTTACCAGTTAGGAAAATTAATCCAAAAATGGAAGGTCCTCTCTGAAATAGTTTAATATGATTGGAGAGATTTATTTTCAAGAAAATGGCAAATGTTTTATTTCATTACGCCCTGCGCCACAGAACTACATCCACGCAGATGGGACATCACTGTGTTGCCATAGAAACAACTTCCCTTTCCCTTGGAGGGAAGAGGGCTTCCCATACCCCCCATGTACAATCCAGGCGCCTTCCAGAGCTGTGAGTGGGTCTTTATTATGAAGGACACTTGATAGTTAAGGGTCAGTGGTTAGAGGTTGAGTTCGGATTCAGGCTAAAGATCACACTATTTACTTCAAGCCCAATGCAACACTCCCTCTTGACCAATAGAAATGTTGATGCTAATGTCCATATGGACCAATCAGAATGCATCTTCACTCCTCACTGCAGAGGGAAACCTGCCTTTAGAAGGCACCTGGATTACAGGTGGTGGGGTATAAACAAGAATGGGAAGCCCTCTTTCTTCCAAGGGAAAGAGAAAGCAGCTGTTCCTATGGTAACATAGTGATGCCCCAATGTGCCTGGCTGTAGCTCTGTGGAGCAGGGTGTAATAAAATATAACATTTGCCTCTTTCTTATACCTAATCTGTTATTTTTTTGTCAGTATCAGTGCACTAATGCAGACTCACTATTTAAGGGCTGAACGTCCCTCTGGCCCTACCCACTATGGGGTTTAAGATGGCCCTTAATGTGGAGGACACTTCACGGGAACGCGCAAAGAGAGGGTTAGTGTTTAGGAGACGGTTTGGGATTGGGCCCACGAAACACATTGTGAATTCAATGCAACACATAAACACCGTCTGAAAAAAAACAAAAACATTAAAACTGATCAAATCTGTTAAACATAGTTTGAAAAATGAAATCTGAGCGAAGAATACGGTTTATAATTATTTGAAAACATAGTCTGATAAAACAGCAAATTTAACTCTTGAAACCTTTTCTTAAATTAAGAAGTGCTTCATTTCTGGATTGCAGTTTTTTCTGATTACAAAACATATTCTTTGCAGGAAAAATGTAACAAATTCGCTCCATCTGGTGCAATCTTTTTGAGTAGAAAGTTGAAAAGAAATGAAGACAGGTAAAGTTAGTTATTCAAAGTTAGTTTTAACAGTTCCAGTCATGTATGTAGGCTTAGTTTGTTGTGTTTTGAAATATAAGAGGGAAAAAAAAGACATGGGGCATGTCTGACTGTCAATACTGGCTCTGAACCCCTTCACTTTATCATCCACATAGTTTTATTGTACAGCTCAGGTCAGAAAGTCAACATGTGGACTTATTGCTCCTTATCGGAGGGTGGTGTTATAATGTGTCTAGCTAGCAGGGACAGTAACTGGCTCTTGCTGTGCTGAGCCTCAGGGTATTCCAGTAAAATGCTAACTGGTGTAGAAAGGTGTTTCAGTTCTTTTGTTCCATGGAAAGAGAAAATAAGCTGCTCAAATGCCTTCTTCTCTTCCAAGAAACAGCCTCCAACATAAATCGCCTCCGGACACTCTCATAAACCCTCTGGATCTTCAGCTTAAATGCAGCAGAAAAGGAACACGTGCCAGGAAATATATGATCTTGCTCACTAAAGGTCGCTTCCCCTGCAGACCGAGAGTCTGCTTAACTATTGTTGTTAACTTCAGCTCTCTCTTTCAATAATGACATAAGAAAACAAAACTAAATGAGTGTAAGCAGGATTATTTATATTCCTTGACTTTTTGTTCCACATTTTAACCTTTAGCATGTTTTCTTTTTTTATCAACTCTGAGCAGCTCCCCTATCCCTGCTAAAGAAAAGCATCACCTCATTACTTTCAGGCACAACTATTTTTCATCTGGAGAAATATTGTTGAGAAGAGTCAGTTTTCCGCTAAATATACAGTCTTCTTATAAACAGCATATAAAAATTGTGTGACTTCTTTCAAATCAGATTAAGGAATACACAATTAAAAGTTTTCCTGTTAACAAGCTCCAACTTGAGCTATGAATCTTTGCAGCTTTTCCAAAGACACTCCTGTTTGCTTCTCTGATTGATGCTCTTCTCACCCTTTGTTTCAGTGGCTGGCAGTGGTTTTCTGTTTGTGTCATATGCCTTCCAATGTCAAACAATGAACTGCACAATGGAGTGAATTTTGTACCATTATTGTTGCAAGTAAAGAAAACATTTTGTTGATGGGAATTAGAAAAAGTGCGGGCACAAATGAAGCATTGAAATCACAAATCAAATTCTCTTCACTTGTTTGTCAGGTTTTCCACTGGAGTCTGCAGTGTAGACACATTTCTGTTGGTCTGCTGGATGTTAGCAGCAACATTTTTATTGGTCAATGTGCATGTCAAGAGCGAGCATTTGTTTTGGGCTTAATGCGATAAGAATTTGATCTGTAAAAAACTATTTGAAAAGAATGCAATCTGTAAAGCTAGGTTTGAAAAATAGGAATTGGAAAAAACATCTCATTTGAAAATGTACAATATGTAAAAAAAAAAAAAAAAGTCTAAAAAAAACACTTTTAAAGAAAAGGAGAAATAATGTAAAGCAAACTACTGAGGTAAAACCACTAGAGATTTGTCTTTGATCATTTCACATCATTGTAGTACTTTATATTGGCCTATCACACTAAAACTTTATTAAATATATTGTGGTAAGTTTCTCATTGGAATATGAACATATTTAAAATATCTATATATTTTTATCATCAGTCAAGGGTCTAAAAATGTACAGATGAACTCCTACTGCAGCAGAACTGGAGAAATATGACAAAATGTTTAACATTCAATATATACTCTTATAAACTCTTATTAAAGATATTTATAAATAGAATTTAACGAGTCATAACTAAATTATAGATATCTGTTCTAGATATTGGACAAGTCAGAATGATAATGATGATAGGATGTCTTCAATAAAAAATCATAATAGTCATAATGATATTACTAATAGTCAAAATAATGTTATAGATATCTATAATGGTTGTTCCGGATAGTTAGACATACTGATAAAATGTTAAAATGACTTGCCATTTCCTTAAATATCTTACCCTCTTCCTTTTTGTAGGGTGATCAAATGTCTGGTTTTAATATTTTCTAGGTCTTGTAGCTAGTAGAAAAAAAAATGATGGCAAGAGTGACACATCAAAAATTAGGTTTAGGGATGAAACCTTGGTAATTAGGGTTAGTGCATAGCAGATTGGTAAGGAGAATCCACAACAGCACCTCGAGTCACAATATATGTTGGGTCACATCGGACATTTAACCACCTGCTAGGAAAGGTGATTATATCTCATATGAAGTTTAATTTTGAAAGGTAAGAGCATGGGGGCCATAGCTTAAGTCCACCAGACATGCACCATGAAGCGAGCACTATGAGAAGGGATGTATCCAGGCTGCAGTCATACTTGTTTCTTAAGGTTTGGGTAACATTGTTACTCTCATGCATCTAAGATTATCAACGAAGAATGAATAAACCAGGGAAGGGGGGATTGGTAGTCTGGATTCAGGCCACATTTTGGCAGTTCTGCATCAGGGGGTCTAAAAAGAACAGTCTTTACTTTGAGTATATCTAGTAATAGATGGAAATAAAAGAACTCAAAACAAAAACCTAAAAAACATGTGCAGAGACTTTTCTTCTCCCTCAAAACTATTAAGTGATGCAAACTATACCTGAGAGCAGGGGTCGAACACTTCCAGATTCAACTGCCGACCGTCGATTGATAGCCTCTTATGGTACAAGGAGTCTGTCAGTGAGATAAAAAGGCAATATTGATTGACTTTCAGTAATTACAATTTTATTCTATTGGATTAATATATTTAATGTTTTTGAGAGACTATAAATAAAACTATTATGGTTATCATGTTTGCAACAGACAGTTAGTCTTTTCCCTTTGACAAATGGTATCCTCATTTCATCATTGTTCCCTTACTTTTTTGCTTTTAATTTGCACTAAACCATCCAGTTCATGCAGTGGTATGCACAAGGTTTGGCAGGTGGGGCGGTCGACTAGAGGATTTAGGTTAGGTTAGGTTCCTACCCCCACAACCCTTCTTCAATAACAGATAAATAGATTATTTTTGATATTTTAGATTTTAACCCCCTGGCTGACCATTCAGGGTATACCCCGCCTCTTGCCCACAGCTCCCAGTCACCCCATTAGGGAACAACTTTACTCTACATTCATCCAATCATTCATTCACCCATTCGCACACACACTGATGATTGTAAACTTCATTGTAGCCACAGCTGCCCTGGGGCTCACTGACAGAAGTCTGCCGTACGCTGGCCCCACCAGGCCCTCTGACCACCATCAGTATGCAATGTGGGTGAAGTGTCTTGCACAACGACACTGAAAGCTTAAACCGGCAACCCTTCGATTTTGTTGCAAACTCCTACATACAATGCCACTGTCGCCACACTGTCCTCCTTATTTTAAAATGGGTTTAGACACTTACATAACATTATTGTTTATCTGTTTCCTAATATGCACATTACATCTGATCGCAAAAATATGACCAAAAGAGTCTTTTAAATATGTTTGCTAGCTACTAACTCCAATGGCCTAATAGAATTGACAAATCATTTAATAAAATTGTATTTTACCAAATACTGTTTTATTTACCTTCTTGGATTTGCAATTGATTCGAACCCATTTAAATTGTTCTAAATTAATTTGAAAGCTAGTTAGACTTCATTGCAAACTCTTCAATAAAAAAGACTCTCAAACATCACATCAATCAAAAATATATTTTTTATCCCTTTTCCTATCTTCACATAGCAACTTATCGGTTCAATAGAGTTTCATCAGTTTAGTCAAATGTTTCAATTGAAATATGTTTGAATTTGAGTAAAATGATTTTTGTTAATGAACCCTCATATGTTGAAAGGTGGTTGTTTTGTATTTATTCCATATATATGCAGAGTTAACTGTTAGAACTTGATTTGGGCTTGTTTACAGAATAATACATGACAGTGTAAAAGTTATTTGTCACAACCACATTTAATTGCACATCAGGTTTTTGAGACTAAACTTTAAAAAAAAGAATAGGAAAATCTGAAAACCCTTACTTGCATTCGAGGCGTATTCCCCAATAAACCGTCTGGTCAAGAACCGCACAAGGACAGCTGGAAGTAACAGAACAAGAAATAACATCAACATCAATCACATAATAATTACACTCTCATCCTTCACAGGTGGCAGGAGTGTTAAAAAATAGACCTTCATTTATCTGAACAGAAACAACACAGAGTGCCAACAGTCTCTGGGGCTGGAGAAACATTGCTTTGCTGGAATGTTCATAGGTATATTTGGCAAAATGAAAGGATGTATTCACAAACAATCTCTGTTTGTTTCTGCATTGAGAGCTTCTCAGGAAACCGACTGATTGGACTCGTTCTAGTCCCACAGACAATAGGTTTTAGTTATGGGCTGAGGTCCAAGAGCAGAACTTTAATGAAGGTGGGCCTCAACAGGGGTCAGCCAGAGAATACACGCTGGCCACACACACACCCCCATGTGAACTCTGTAGGTACATTAGGTTAATCATGGATGCATTGTAGAAGACCAAAGACTTCCAGCTCATTGTACTCTAACTTCAGAAATTCGTGTTGCCATCAATGCAAAAAGCGATGCAAGATGTGCTGTGAAAGCAACAAGCAGAGCATAAATCATAATAAATGGACGCAAGAATGCAAGAGCAATCTCCAGAGGCTGCAGACCTTCCGTAGCTGCGGCTCCACCACTCTGCCAGGCACTGAGATGTAGATGCATGGAGCCAATCAGTCTTTTCTACCACTGAGACTGAAAACTGATATCTACCACAAACCCCCCACTGGTGTCAGGAAAACTTCACCACCCACTCATTTTGATTTGCAACAGCAGCTAAAACAAACGAAAAAACAATCTGTAACGCCACCTAGAAATGCAATGTAAATAGACGCAGTAAGAAATGAGGAACACCAACAAGCTATTTAAAATGCCTTAAATTACAGATAGGTATAAACTTCATGTGAGCATGATTACAACGTTGTAGCACGCCGTTTTTAAAGGCGGTCTGCTTTGTTTGAATCTCAGAGATTTAGTTTGAAGTGATCTAAACTGTTGGAATGAGAGGGAACATCATGGTCCCATCAGCCATAAAACGCCCCACGCATGTTCTGCCAGGTCTGGCTATAACAGACCAAAAGATACTATCGAAAATCTCTTAAAACCACTCGATTGTCGTCTTGGCTATTCCTCTTCTGATGTGTAAATACGTGCCTGTACATTTAGAGAGAGAATAAGGTTTAATTTCCATGGTAAATGTACAAGGAGGAGAAATGTTCTTTCTAAAATGCTAGACTGAAGTTTCGGACACCAGAACCATCCAGTTCACCAACACTGTCACTATCAGGAGACAAATTGTTAAGAAAAAAAATCACTGATGAATATTTGCTGCAATGAACACTTGAACATCTCAAAGCTAAAACTAAGCAGTGAGACAAGCTCTCTCCTAACCAATAAATGAGGCTCGTAGATGGAAGAAGTGGGATTCTAAACTCAATCAAGAGGATTGTGTACATCGAGTCTTACTTTTTGGATTTCCTGATAAAAATGGGAACTTGAAAGAAAATATTTATGGCATTCTCACTTTTGCTGCAAGGAAAAATATCTTGATGCAATAGACTAGAACAAGAGGAGCTTGTGTTAACGGCTTGCCAAGGGCACTGCTGGGCTTAGTACCGTTATATCTGAAATGTGGGGATTTCACTCAAAAACAGACTTTTCCTCGAGGTTTGGAAATCATGCTAGGACTATATTAAAAACCCAGAATCTCAGCCATTATACTTTAGGAATTTGTTTCACTTTATTTTCTTGTTTTTTCTACCTTTTATACTCCTGTGTTTTGCTCGATACTATGAGTCTGAGCTGTTATTTAATTGAGTTGTGCTCTGCAGCTTTAAAAATCTAATCAAAAAATAAATAAATATTAGGAGGAATAACACAAACTATTAAGGGACAGCTTGGCCAAACCTCCTTCTCAGTTAGAAAACAACTTTTTGTTGATATGGAAAATATTATGATAAATATATATTGATATAAATAAACCTTTTTTAAAGAATGTAATTGTCATTATTCTGGACGTTTTGGTTCTGTTTAAGTTTTCTCTTTGATTCATCTCTTTCTGTTTTTTCTAGGTCATTGTATTCATTTCCATTTTGTGTTATTCTAGTTGTTTTCTGGTTGTATTTTGGTTCCTATGTGTTTCTTGTTTACTCTGTTGCCCCCTTGTATTAGTCTCCTTTCCCCTAGCGCCCTTCTAGATCATTTATACTCCTCCTCTGCTGTTACTCAGTGCTGGATTATCTTCATTCCTTCCTTAACCTATGTGTCCAATTATTAGTTATTTCTGGATTTAATCTTCTGTTGCCACCATTGGCTCTTAAATCTGCAAAAAAACATCTAAGGTCTCTGCATTTGGGTCCTCTTCAAACCTCCACCCATCCTGACAGAAATTTATTTAATACGAGGTCATGTTTTTCCCAATTACTGAATTTCCTTATGCAACATAGATATTTTTTTCTGAAAAGCTTTGAATTTAAATGGGAAAAACAATTGGGTGACTCCAGATAATAACAGTCAGAACAAAACTATTAGCCTCACGGATACTAACAGGCTGACGGAGCATCAAACAGATTAAGGGATTCTATGTGATGAACTCTGCAGATACAAACTAAAGGTGGGAAAGTTAGTTACAGTACTCAGTAACTATATTTACTTAAATACCTTATTTTGACAAAACTAGACTTTTGAGGAGAAGTTTCATTGTAACATATTATTTTACTTTTACTTGATGTCAAAATATAGTTTCTCTTATTTGTGTCCAATTTGTGGCTACTCTATCCATTGTAAGTAATGTTATTAAAAAAAACAACCTTGTTTTAAAAAAAGTTTTCCAAACAATGAGACACAGTTAATGTTTATGTCACCTTTTTTATGCACACACTTAATTGAACCCACCATGACATTTTGTCATCAAGTAAAACATAGGAAGCAAATATGGCCATTGAAGGTGCTGATTTAATGGGTTTTATGTTAAAAACAAAGTTATTTTGGAAAAGTGTTGTTTCATCTGCCTGGATTTTTTTTTTGTATTGCAGTATTTGTGCTTACCAGAATTTTCTCATAACTTTACATTTGGGTTTATTGTATTACCTAACTTTAAATATCAGATGTTATGATGAGTTACTCCTTACCTGAGTTGTCTTTTTACCAAATACTTTCTTTCTCTTGGGTAAAAATATGATGTGTTACTCTTACTTAAGGACAATGTTTGGATACTCTACCCACCTCTAGTACTAACCGGGTATTCGCTCCAGATTGCCTCTAAAAATGTAGCAGCGTCTGGGTTGGCAAACTAGCCAAAACATTTATTTTGAAGCTTATACTTTAATACCTTGTGGTCCTTTCTTTAAAACAGTGGAAAAGTGCATTTGGGTCATATTGTCAGTTCTTTGCGACTAAAACAGATCTCTGCTTGGCTCCTTTTCTCTCCTCTGGCTAAATGTGTGTCCAAAAAACTGATTCTAAAATCCTTTATTTGGCTTCTAAGTATCTCAGGATTAGTGAGGATGAAGCCTTTTCAGTCATAACACAAAGAATAGAACATGAAGCCCAAATATTTCTTAAGCTGACTATTTTCTTTTGTGTGTGTGTTTTTTTTTAGCTTTCATGTGATAATATCACATGAAAACTCTGTGTGATAATGAAGAACACAAACAGTGTGATAACTACAGAGCATGATAGTTTTATGAACTACAATGAAACAAAAATAATTACAATGATTGATAATATAAGTAAAATAATGAAAAGAAACATCTAAAATAAATCTTCATGCACAAAGTTAGCTTTTTGAAATGGATCATTGAAATAACTAATTTGTTAATGAGGTCTAATTTAGCAGAAAGTAGCTGTGAATACCATCGTTAGGCAGAGGCGGGTCGTAGATGGTTGCGTTTACTCAGTTACATTTACTTTAGTAACTTCTGGGAGTATTTCTCTATGTTGTATTTTCAACTTTTACATGAGTAAAAAATATTAATTATCGCTGCTCTGACTTGACTAAAACTGTGCTTCTCTCCCCATCTTGAGTTAATTACTCAATAAATAACAGATTAGACTTTGTTTTTGTAATCAAGCTTCATTGGTTTCATGCTCTTTTCTGACTACAGATCCCGCTGTTTCATTTGAAGATAAAGTGAAAATACAATAAAGGTAAAATATTGTCAGTATTGATCATTTTTAAATGAAATAAATATCTATTATTAGCAGGATTAAAAGATGAAAGAAAAAGAATCTTCTTACCACAAAACATGTTTTTAGTCTCTCTTACTAAATAACTGTGATATTATTCAATTATCTTAAAACTCTCTGATAAATTATTCAAATTATTAAAAATTATATATTAAAACTTCTATTGATTAAATTGGTTGAACACATTCTTTAAAAAAAAAAAGAAAAGATACTCATCTTCTTTCTTCAAAATCTTATTTTCCTTAAAGTTTTTAACGGCCCATTTAAAGCCAGATCTTTGTGCTAAAATTATGAATTAAAAAAAAAAACTTTACTGTCTGCCAGATCCACAAAAAATATGTTCAGAAAAACTATGTATTTCATTAAAAAAATTATATTTGTATATTTCTTTTCATAAATAATGTGGTTTCTGATTAAATCTCATTTTAAATTCCATTTGTTTGCTCAAGCTGATTAGTTTTGCTCAAAGGTCTAAATTAAATATTTCAATGTCTTGTGAAGATGAGACAGTATGTTGATTCTGACTATAATAATGAGCATTACAATAAAATAATGAATCAATAATTAGCTGAAGAAAGACAGCAAATGAACTCTGAGCCTAACAGTAGGAACAAAGTTTCTGAACAAAGTGCTGTTGGCGGTTTTTATGTATCATTTATTCAAGTGGGTCAGTTAGAACAAATAGTCACCATAAAAGTATCTTTTTTATTTTTCCGCCTTAGGATTAAATTAGAGAAGAATCCGGTTTGACAGGTTTGAAACACAGAAATCAGAAAAGTTACATTAAGTAATGAGTCATACACTGAAGCAGAAAAAAGGCCTATTCACAGTTATTTTTGGGTTTAAAGCAAGAGGAAAATTAATTCAACATATTTTCTCCTGCATGTATGAGCTGTAAAAGTTGTTTTTGTGGCTCACCGGATTTCCCAGCCCCCTGGCTTCCCAAAAGGGCCAGCTTGATGTCGTTCATGCCCTTCGTCTCGTCAGGTCCTCAGCTGATCCTCTGACTGAAGTTTTGCGTTGTCTGGTATTCAAGTTGGAGTCTGCACATTTTATACTCCTCATAGTCCAGACAGGAGGGTGAAGGTACAGAACGGCCCCTTCCCCCTCTTCTCTTCAAAGAGCTGTTTCACTTTTTAAAGCCAGAGGGAGAGGAGAGAGAGGGGGAAGCAATCCCCCCCTACTCTGACTGGGCTCCAGAAGCTCTACATTATGCCTTTCTCTCTCTTTTTTTTTACTGTTATCCTATAACCCCCCCCCTCCTCACTGTCCTTAACTCGCTTTTCATTTCCTTCTTCCTTTCCAATACAGTACATCTCTTTGCCACATAGGGGTTACTCAAAGGCCAGGACTGACTACACCTATCTTAACGCAGTGACTGTGGCCACAGTGCCATCTGTGAAGATTTCTATCATGTAGATGATGAAGGAGCCAATTTCCTGTGAACTTTTTCCACATGTTGTCAAAAATGTTTGTTTTTTCTCACTTGGATTTAATGTGAAACATCAAAAACTGGTGCTTCATTATTGGGTGGAAATTAAAAATTTTACAAACTAAAAACTAATAAATATGCAGTCCACCTTTTTTCCTCCAATGCCCAGAAACACTGGCTGCCTTCAGGTGATTGGTAAATAGAGTCAATATATGAAGTCAGAATTCTGCCCGAAGTGCAATAAATTCTAGTATACCTGTTTTATTTAAAGCACACATGTAAAATACTCACCATGCACTTTTTTAACGAAGCTTGCTTTTTATGCTTCTCATCGTCTCCTGTCAACCTGTTTCTGTTCTTGTCAACTTTTTTCACTTTGAGGAGGAGCCAACCAGAGAAAGAAAACTGCCTGTGATTAACTACTTTCTAGGAAATCACGCCTCTTTAGAAAGTACTTTTCTTCCTGGCTGTGGCTAGTAACGTTAGCAAAGAATCTTTTGTTTTGATTTTGCAATTCAAGTCGACACTGCTTGTTTAAAGGGTTTGTTGAAAATTATGAGATACTGAAGGGCCAAAGCCAGAGATTAGTTAGACTAAACCAAACAGTTAATGCAGAGGCAGACCTGGACTGGTGTTGCAGGCAGAACCAGACAGGACCTGAGGCTGGACAGAGGACCAGGAGGGACTTGAGGCTGCACAGAGGACCAGATGGGACTAGAGCTGCACAGAGGACCAGATGGGACTAGAGGCTGCACAGAGGACCAGATGGGACTAGAGGCTGCACAGAGGACCAGACGGGACTAGAGGCTGCACAGAGGACCAGACGGGACTAGAGGCTGCACAGAGGACCAGACGGGACTTGAGGCTGCACAGAGGACCAGACGGGACTTGAGGCTCCACAGAAGACCAGACGTGACTTGAGGCTGCACAGAGGACCAGATGGGACTTGAGGCTGCACAGAGGACCAGACGTGACTTGAGGCTGCACAGAGGACCAGACGGGACTTGAGGCTGCACAGAGGACCAGACGGGACTTGAGGCTGCACAGAGGACCAGATGGGACTTGAGGCTCCACAGAGGACCAGACGGGACTTGAGGCTGCACAGAGGACCAGATGGGACTTGAGGCTCCACAGAGGACCAGACGGGACTTGAGGCTGCACAGAGGACCAGATGGGACTTGAGGCTCCACAGAGGACCAGACGGGACTAGAGGCTGAACAGAGGACCAGACGGGACTTGAGGCTGCACAGAGGACCAGATGGGACTTGAGGCTCCACAGAGGACCAGACGGGACTAGAGGCTGCACAGAGGACCAGATGGGACTTGAGGCAACTCAGAGGACCAGACGGGACTAGAGGCTGAACAGAGGACCAGACTGTCATGATCTGGCCTGTTTGCTCTCCCTTAATTAGTAATTCCTCTCACCTGCCCTCTGCCTCCCCTGCCTCAATTATAATTTATTCCCCTCACCTGTTTCCTCTGGTTTATATTCAGTTCAGCCTGAGCATTCAGTGCCAGATCATTGCTTGTCTTTCTGTCAGTCTTTCTGTTCAGTTTTATTAGGTTCATGTCCTGGATCCTAGCTGCCAGTGGAAAGAGGGTTTTAGTGTTTGTCTCGTCTCCTGATTGTCCACTGTTCCTCCCCTGCGGAGTCCTCTGGGTTTTTGGCTCATTATGGGGGGAGGTTCAGTTTTTATCCAAGTAAGCCTGGCTCCAGGAAGGAGACCAGTTTAAAGTCCTGCTTCAAGTTCTGGTTCCTTCGTCCTGTCTCGGCTACCCTCTTCCACTGTGCCTGCTCATCTGCACCTGATCCTGTCTGCTCCTGTGCGTGACCACCTGGTCATGCTTCTGGTCCCACTCTGACTCTGAACCCTCCTGGGAGCCTGTGGAAGCCTGGAAGTCTGGATCCTGCCACCTGTTTCTGGTCCTGCCTGTTTCTGTCTGTTCTGGATCCCTGACCAGGACCGGCTTCCAGCATGACCTCTGGAACTGCAGCACTGGGACATTCTTGGTCTGGACTGCTAAACCAGAATGTCTGAGATTGGGCGGTGCCCCGCCCCCCCGCCTGCAGAGTCCGCCAGCCACAGCTCCGCTTTTGTTTGGTTTTATTTATTTAATAAACGTTTTGAACTTTCCTACTGACTGTCTCGCCTTGAATACTGGGTCCTTCTGTCCTCGGTCCATGACTCAGACGGGACTTGAGGCAACTCAGAGGACCAGACAGGACTTGAGGCTGCACAGAGGACCAGAAGGGACTTGAGGCTGCACAGAGGACCAGAAGGGACTTGAGGTTGCACAGAGGACCAGGCGGAACATGAGGCTGCACAGAGGACCAGGCGGAACATGAGGCTGCACAGAGGACCAGAAGGGACTTGAGGCTGCACAGAGGACCAAGCGGGACTTAAGGCTGCACAGACAGCCAGACAGGACTTGAGGTTGCACAGAGGACCAGGCGGGACTTAAGGCTGCACAGACAGCCAGACGGGACTTGAGGTTGCACAGAGGACCAGGCGGAACATGAGGCTGCACACAGGACCAGGCGGAACATGAGGCTGCACAGAGGACCAGAAGGGACTTGAGGCTGCACAGAGGACCAAGCGGGACTTAAGGCTGCACAGACAGCCAGACGGGACTTGAGGTTGCACAGAGGAGTAGACAGGAATTGAGGATGCACAGAGGACCAGAAGGGACTTGAGGCTGCACAGAGGACCAGAAGGGACTTGAGGCTGCACAGAGGACCAAGCGGGACTTAAGGCTGCACAGACAGCCAGACGGGACTTGAGGTTGCACAGAGGAGTAGACAGGAATTGAGGATGCACAGAGGACCAGAAGGGACTTGAGGCTGCAAAGAATGCTAAACGGGACTTGAGCCTGCGCAGAATGCCAGACGGGACTTGATGCTGCACAGAGGAATAGACAGGACTTGAGGCTGCACAGAGGCTGCAGGCTCTGGAACAAGACAGAAACTAGACAAGACACTCCGGGTGCAAGAGGATAGTGGGGTTCTATATAAAGGCAGAGAAAATGACTTGGTTGGGTGGAATTATTGGCAGCAGCTGATGCTAATTCTGGTGCTCACTGTTGGCTGAGAAGTGACAAAACAGATGAAAAAAATTTCAAAAGTTAAAAATTGGTTAAGTGAAATCAAAATAGCTAGGTTTAACAGTCTTGAATGTGTTCTGACAGCAGTACCCATATCCTTTCAAAGGACTAATGTTAAGTTTGGAACTTTGCATGAACATTAGCCTTACTGTTGGCAGTGAGGAAATTGAGGCTTGAATGTACTCTGGTTTATAGTTGGACACAGACATTTACATTTCTAATCAGTTTAGCTACTTTTAAGCATATTTTTCATATTCATCATTCTGTTTATAAAATTCTCAGTTGATGATAGAGATGCTGTTTGATATGAAATCAGAATTGGCTTTTAGCCTGAAAATGCTTTGCTAAACTTACTAGGGACTAGAGAGAAAACATTACTGTCTCAAGAAGTGGGACTTCCTATACAGTGGATAATCAAAGGCAGTTTACTCTCAGGTAGGTTCCAAAGTCAGTGAGACAAGCTGAGGGAGATGCCGTCCATCACACTACCTTATTTTGACATTTACAGAGAGAATTTGACCCATTTGTTACACAAACTGCTTTCCAGTAATACAGGATTAATCACCAAGACGCATTGAGAATGCATAGACGTAATGGACAAAACAGAGTTTCTGACAGTTCCTGCATTGTAAAAGAAATGAAAAGCTGAAAATCTATTCAGACCTCCTTAAAAATACATTTTTGAGCAATTGTCACAGGCTTCATAAGATGTTTAAAGCTTAGGCATTAACTTTTTAATCCAACGCTTTTAAACACAAACACTTATTGTTTAGTTTAAAGAGATGAAAAGTTTGGGAACCTTTGTGATTTAAAGTAATTCAAGACCTCTGACTTCCTCGGTAGTAACCCCCCCCCCCCCACACACACACACACACACACACACTTTGGGTCCATCTTCAAAGATGCCTAAATTTGATCTTGTTTTGGGTGATATGTTTTTTTTTTTTTTATCACATTTAAATACAAATTTAGACACATTTTGAGCTGCATATTTCTTCCTAATTCTTCTCTTTCAGGGAAAACAGGCCAAGCGCTGTTTTTGTCTCAAGAATTCAAACTTTTTAAATCGTTAACACATGAGCTAAAACAAGACAAAAAAAAGAGAAAGCAACCTGACCACATTGTGTGAGTCCAAGTGCATTTATATAACACAGCCTGCGGATTGGATCTGCCTCTGAAATGTTTACCAAACTGTCTTCTTTCCATTCAGTAATGTTTATGTCTCATATACCCTGAAAGTCTATTTTTGTGAAGCAAAAATAATTGATTCCAGAGAAGTTTGAGTTCTGTGTATTCAGAACTCAGAAACATGTCTCTCCAGGTCCCTTAAGCCACCAATCAGAACACAGGGAAACGACGAGGGATAAAAGAAAGGAAGATTTTTTTAAAACCAGTTTGCATTTGGACTGAATGCTGAAACATTTAAAGATTATTTCTCTGTTGCCTTATTTGTAGATAATCAGACATTTTTAGATAAATATTTCAGATTTAAAAAAAAATCTAAATATCAGACAATGATAACCTGAATACATTTTAGAGTCCTCATAAAATTGGCACACATTGTAGATAATTAATAAAACATATTACCAAGACTTCACATTTGGTAATCCCAACCCTGCACACATCTGACCACTTGGCA